CACACACACACACACACACACACACACACACACACACACACACACACACACACACCCCGCACACGCTCACGCACTAAATGTCCGCACCACAAGCAACGCACAACACGGCAACATGCACACAGCACGGCACACACGGCACACAGTGGCCGCACATGCACACCACGCGACGACACGAAAACACAGCGCACAACGCACATCACACGCACACAAATCAATTACTCGGTATTCAGATAAAGCCTTTAGGCTAATTTTTCATTAGGCCATCCGAGCGCCCTATAGACAAATCTGAAACGTTCTTGCTTATTAGTCATGGTTGTAGCCTTGAATTGCTACAGAAATGTATCACCGTCATTTTTCTTTTTCATTCGAGGTGAAAAGTTCAAACTCAAAAACAACGGCCAATCATGAGGTGGCGAAGTTTTTCGCAATGCCAAGAGCAACGCAAATCGTACAGTAGTTTTCCCGCCGCATGAGGTTTCCTCTTATTTGCGACCCGCATATAAATTTCGTTCTTACCGCAGTAACGACCACGCGCCGACTGAACATTATTAAATTTTCTTGCGCGCGAAAGCTTATAATTCTAAACGTACCACTAGAAAAAGTGATATTGTCCAATATTAACATGTTGGCGTTTGGCAGAACCTGTTTCTGAGGTCACTGCCGACTATTTGAAATTACCATAATAAGCAAATAATCGCTTAACGACATTCTATGATAGACAACCGCTATTTGCCATGGCAATCGGCTTTGAATCCCATTGCAGATAGATTAACAGCGTCCACAGCGAAATTGTACGATGCACAATACTTAAAAGTGCAATCAACAATTGCCAGTAAAGTGCACGGCGAGTTGTTTCTTATCTGTCCACATCTTTCAAATCAAACCATACCATCAGCGCGATTCCCAAATGAACTTGTATCGCAGAATGAAATTCTGAACTCGAATCACGGTAACATTGACCGTTAGTCTTTGTTTCCCATTTGACGTTGCGCAAATAGGAAATGGTTCTGACCTACTTTCTATATTTAAAAATAAAATAGAAAATAGGAAATTGGTTTCTGAACTGATATTGTTTCACCATGACGTTGCAATACGGAAATGGTTTCTGACCTATTTTCTATTTTTAAAAGCTGAAAATCGAAAAAATGAGAATGGAAAATAAGCGAAAGGTTCGGACCCGTTTCCTATTTGCGTTCTAGCCACGTTCAAATTCACGGAAGGCAAATGCAATTCGCAAAACATCGAACGAACAGAATTGCGCCGATACAAACAAGATCTGCCGCGCAAAAAATTACAAATTTCTTAGTCTTGTCTTGAAAACGCTCGACTGTACACACAAAACCCGATATCTGACAAAATTGAAAGAAAACAATTTAATTCATATACAGCTTAACAATCAGTACAATCAGTTTGTAGTGGATGGTAACAAGACCCAGAACAACTGTCATCAAAATGATCAATAACGTCACCCTGGTTTCTAGGGTAACTAATGTAGTAAGACCATTAGTCATACAGGTATATAACCATATTTAGTAAATAGTACTAGTACAATGCACAGTGGTGAGGTAACTCCCCTACAGTACAGTGTACTGATAGTAAATATACACCGTTATGATGTAGTGACAGTGTACGTGATGTAAAATACTGGAAGTGACATACCGTCGCACGCGGCCGTGTGGCGGACTCAATATGCTAGGAAGAGAAGGGAGAAGGATAACTGGATGAAGGAGGAAGGGAAAAGGGAGAAGGTAGTGGAAAGAGAAGGGGAGAAGAAAAGGTGGAAGAAAGAGAGGGAGAAAGCGGTGGGAGAAGAGAGGGAAGAAGAGAGGTGTTGGAGAAATGAGGGGGAAAGCGTCTGAAGCTCCTCCTCTCTCACCCACTTCTCCTCCCTGCCACCCACTCTCCTCCCCCCTCCTCCCTCCACAATTCCTTCTCCCTTTCCTCCTTCCGTCCCACCACTTCTCGCGCGATCCTCCTTCCTTACCAGCTTTGGCCCCTCCTCCTTCTCACTCACCTGCCTTCTCCCTTCGCTCCATTCTCTCACCACCTCTCCCCTTCTCCTTCCTCCTCCACTCAGCTCTCCCCGCTCCTCCTTCTCTCTATCCAGCTTCCTCCCTCCCTCCTTCCCACCCACCCTCTCCCTTCTCCCTCCTCCTCTCACCAGCTCTCCCCTCCTCCTCTCCACCAACTTCTCCCCTCCTCCTTCTCCACCACCATCTCCTTCTCAACCATTCCATCCTTCTCACCAGCTTCTTCCCCTCCACCACCTTCTCCTTTTCCGCCTCCAACCAGCTCCTTTCCCCCCCTCCCTTATCCCTTCCCCTTCCCCCCTCCCTTATCCCCTCTCCCTTCATCGCCCCCCTCCCCTTCCACCACGCTGCTTCTCCCCCTCCTCACCCAACCTTCATCCCTCTGCCCCCCTCATCAACCACCTTCTCCCTTCTCCCCCTTCAACACACGTCTTCTGCCTTCTCCACTCGACTTCTCCCCCGCACCTCCTCCCTTCTCCCCCTCTCTCCTTTTCCACACACTTTCTCCCCCCCTCCTCCTTCTCCCACACCAGCTCTCTATTCTTCCCCCTCTCCTCCCACCAGCTCCCTCTCCGCCCGCGCTCCCTTCCTCCTTCTCCACCAGCTCTCCCCCCTATTCTCCACCAGCTCTCCCCCTCCTCCACCACCTCCTCCCCTTCTCCCCTCCTCCTTCTCCCACCAGCTTCTCCCCTCTCCCCCTCACTCCAACCAGCTCCCTTTCTCCCCCTCCTTCTCCCCCAGCTTCTCCCCCTCCTCCTTCTCCCCACCAGCTCTCCCCTCCCTCCACCACCGTTCTTCCCTTCTCCCCCTCCTCTTTCTCGGCCACCACTTCTCTCCCTCCTCCACCAAACCTCCTCTTCCCCTCCTCCTCTCCACCAACTCTCCCCCTCCATCCCTTCTCCAACATACCCTTCTCTCTCCTCTCCCCCTCCCCTTCGCCACCAGCTTCTCCCCTCGCTCCTTCCTCCCCTTCCCTCTCTCCGCACCAGCTCTCCCTCCTCCTCTCCACCACCTTCCCCTCTCCCCCCTTTCCTCCTTCTCTCGCACCACCTTCTCCCTGCTCCCCTTCCCCTTCTCCACCATCCCTTCCCCCTCATGTCCTAACCATAATTGATCGGCAATACGCCGGCCGTCTATAGCCCAAATTGAATTCTTATCCACACTGCCGCCGTGCGTATAGCCATATTTGAGTCCGCCATCAAACGCCGCCGTGCGTATACCATACTGAAATCTTATCGCACACCCGCCGTGCGTAATAGTCCTCGGCCAAAATATACACATCCAGTACATTACTTATATTAATTACTGGATACAGATGTGTGTGTGTGTGTCAAATAGCGTGCCGTGTGTTACATGCCTTGCGTGTTTTCAATGCGTTGCGTGTTTGCATCATGTAATATTTTTTTTTAAAAATAGCTACCCCCACCCCCAATTCTGACAGTCACTGCTGCAACTTAAATAAATTAAATTTCTAACCAAATAAGCTTAACATGTTTATCTATCCTGTATATTGTTTTTTTGGTTAAACTCAGTTTATTTGGTCGGTTACAGGTAATGCATTCCAAACGACTGCGAAGAGACTGCGCTAAACCCATGGCTGGTTGCTGAGAAAACGGGGAAATTTGTTGCCCGCCCACTGCGACTGCATGCGGCCTTGCGAGCAAGAACAGGGCTGAATCAGTTGAACGCCAACCAAAGGACATCCATTTGTAATGCTTTTTAACACAAGTTTTACAGCGACAGGTTACTCGTATCCTTAGTAAACACCTTCACAATACAGGATATTTATTACGATCCTTACGGGATCGCACAATTCGTAAAAGTACACACGGATTTCTTTTTACAGAGTTTGGCCACTTTACGACGGATTTAACGTGTTAATTGACAAAGCTCTTACCGGTTTATTACAATTACATTTATTACGATGTATTTAAACGCCAAAATTCCCACATTTGTTAAGATTGCACGATAACTAATACACTTAAAACGGCATTTTACGCTAGCTTTTAGCGGAATATATTACGAATCTTACGATTCATCGAAGCTTTTACGTTTAGTTATCTACCTGTTTTACGTCGTGTTTACGAATGGTACGCAGTTTAGTTACGAGTATTCACTGGAGTCTTACGATTTTGGCAAATAAGTAATAATAAAAATCATCCTGCAAATCTCAATGGCTAGCTCACAACTTGTGACTACCTTCTTCCTTTGGAGCCATGATTTAGATATTGTAGAGTAGATACAGAGATGTGACGGTCCTTACTCTCTTGAAGAACAACTAAAATGACGTGTTCGATTTGTGCAGCCTTTCCTAAATCGAACAATATACGTAAACGTATACCGTATCTATTCGTAAAGTGCTCCAGTAAATAAGCTCGTAACAATCCGTACAAATTGTAGAAAGCTTGTTAACGAGTCATTTAGCGGATTATTGCGAGCAGTTACGGATGGTTACTGTGTTTGCGAGCGTTTACGATAGCTTACGGATTGTACGAGTATTACGGACAAAAATCAATCCGTGGACACTCGTCGAAAGATTTTGACATGTAAAAAAAATTTCCTCTCCTTTCACAGTATCCTTACGATGTCTGCGAGTTGTGACCCAGTAATAAACCGAGCGAGTTATTTACGGATGTCTGCTGATTGACTACGAAGTGGCGATCCGTAAGGACTCGTAAGAAAAAATGCCGTGTAAGGTGAAGCGGTAATAATAAGATTTGGACTAATTAAAAAGTTGCAAAGATTTTAAAAACCCAACCATTATTTAATGAAAAAATTTTGATAAAATAGTGATACGAAATAGTGCGCCGTATGTGCGCATACCATTACATACTTAAATACATGTGCTGCTTACGCAATGCTCACATTCGCTTGGATTCCCAGCTTCCGCCCACGCTTTAAAAATAGTGCTAGCATGACTGCATGCAGTTTGTGGATTACATACATAAGTGTGCGCAAGGTACCGGCTAGCTGTTTCAGTGTTTGTAACATCTTCAGTCATCTTGTTCATGCACAATTTTACAAACCTTTGTCCATCAGTTGTACCCGTAGAGTAATTAAAATCAAAATAAAATATAGTGCTATTGACCTTTGTTGTAAAGTCAGTGCCGACATTTTATTTAATGAAAAATAAATTGATCGGCTGTGTCTGCAAATGTGCTCAGCTGATAACTATATTTTGAAAATAAAAAATCTGTTGTACAAATATCAGAAATGAGTTGTTGAATAACCTTATTCTACTGAATTGTAATAAATAAAACATTCAAAATATTAGTATTTCATTCTTATTTATATTTTTGCAAGACGCATGGATATAACTTGTTTGAAAAATATTTGACACTGTCTATAAAACACAAGGTACATACATGTTGCAAGATTCCACAAGGACTGCATGCGTATGAAAATACCAGATGGTTATTTCAATATAAAACAAACCCAAACGAGTAGCTACCCAACTGGTTCTCAACTTACATTCTCCCCTGCACCCCAAGCAGCATATCCATTATTTTTCCCTTATGCTCTCATCCTTGGGTTGCTTTACATAACAATAATAAATTAGCATTTCAAAGCATGCCGTTAATGTGAGACTGGTTTTTTTCTAAGTTACAAAATCATAACTTCATCGCCAGATTAATAACAGAAATACAGTTGTTGTTGTTTAATTAGCACACTATTTTAGTAACAAGATATTTACATGTACATGACATGTCACAGTACACTAGACCAATCACTATACTAAGCAAAGCTTATACAACATAACATGCACAATAAAATGAGTGCGTGATTCTCAGTCCATCGAAAATATTCTACGGTATCTCAACTCCATAACATTAGACAAATCAGTGTATAATAAACTACTGTATGCTTTATACACATAACCTTCATCAAACAGCATTTTAATTCAATCATGAACACTGGTGGCCCAGAAATTCAATACATTGCAACATTTACGGCGTCACAGTTACTAGTTCGAATGTGAGTGCCACATCTCACATTTCTGACCAACTCACAGAAGTTGAGGGTGAATTGGTCGGTCAACACAAGGCTCGTCAACACGGAGAAATGTCTCCAAAACAAGTCGCTTAAACTGTGTACAATAACCTGGTATCTACTCTAACACAAGCTTCCATTAGATCTGCCAAGCTTAGTTCCATCTAAACAAGTTTCAGTTCTCTCAGAGGTTGCCGATGCACTTTTCAAACGCGATCTGCCGTTTTACCAAGCAGGCATATGCAAGCAGCATTGTCACATAACAAAGAGTCCAGCCTTTTCTTCCTTGTCTTCGCCGGGACCGGTGAAATCGATTTGGCATGTAGGTAGATATCTTACTTCTCGCTAACGGTGGTCGTTTCAGTAAGGCCGCCTCTCTGTGTCAACTCGTGCTTGAATCTCAAATCTGTATGATGTTGTCTTCGGTCCACAACAGTAATCACCACGTGTGTACATCCTGCGCCAAGGCCACAGCCATGCAGTCCCGCAGAGGCGCAAAAACAATTTTTCCTCTCCCGTCTTCTTCAGCAACAGGCCATGTTTTTAGCGCCAGTCCCCATCTTCGCAGTCGTTGAGAATGGCATTACCATTAACCGTCCAAATAAACTGAGTTAACCAACCAAACACATATGACAATAGATAAACAATGTTACTGTTAGTCTATTTGGAAGAAATTTAAAATTTTTAAGTTGCCAGCAGTGCTGTCAGTAATGTGGAGGGTAGCTATTAAAAAAAAATACTACACTTTTTTCAATCAAACACACCACCACGCCCACGCAGACTGACCGCACGCACGCACCACCGCACAGACACACACGACACGTCACACACAAGGCACACACACACACATTGCTATCCAGTACTAAATAGTAACATGTAGTATATTTACTAATCACTACACCTAGTCACTATCATAATACCGTATATATTTACTATCATAACACTGTAAGAGGGGGTACTACCTCACACACTGTGAATTGCTAAAGCTATACTATTACTGAATACTGTTATATAACTGTAATGACCTAATGTCTGACACATAGAGCTTACCGCCCTAGCTCCAGCAAAACGGTATTGCTAGGCTTAGATAACCGTTTTCAAATTCTTGCCCAAATCCTTGTAGTTGGCCGTATCCAACCATTCGACAGGCAGCTAGCCTCACATGTAAATAGCTCAAACGAATCTATAAACCTTCTGCTTGCGGCGCGTAACTGGGCGCTAACTCGGCGCTACTTATTTATGAGTTAAGCCGTTTTTCTGAGATGAATTGGATCAAACAACCAGACTGCCGACCATGTCTGCCATGTTACAGTGAACTAAAAATCGCAATCGACCGTATTTTCAACAGGCGTAGGCCCAAAATACAACGCAATCTCGAAATGATAATTACTTCTCAAGTTGTTCGTAGATTGCACCGATCTCCTCGGTTTTCAATGTTTTATATTATTTAATATATACGAGTATAAGTGATGCATTTCTTTAATGCTCGCAAGCGAACCGCAAGCTACAACGCTATTATATATGTTTTCGGGTTTTTTCCGCGTGCCGTTCTAAATCATCGCGCATTTGCAAACATGGCGTGGCGGTTAGTTGAAATTTCGGTTTGGCTCTTGAAATTACAACTGTGCACAGCAAACTGAGGTATTATTTTAATAACTAACAGCTGGAATACTATAAGGTGAAGGTTATATTGATAAACAAAACGAAGTGCAGAAATGCTTAAGATGATCATTTTATTAGATGAAGTAATATGTTCGGTAGTTTTTTGTACAGCTACAAGAATATTTTCCAATGGAATGATTCAGGGTCGGTGTAATTGACGTAGCCCACATGCCAGCCTGGCGGGTTAAGCTTGACCTCTACAACCAGGTGAAACGTTATTGATCATTGATGACCGTTGTTCTGACGTCTCGTACCCAATCCACTTAACAAACTGATGTACTGAAATTGTAACTGTATATGAATCCAAATGTTATTTAACTTTCATTGTCCCAGATATCGGGCTTTTTGCCTGTACAGTCGAGCAATTTCAAAGAAAGGACAAGAAAACTTCGTAATTTTGCGACGCGCACGCCATTCTTTTGCTTGTACGCCGAGCGCCATCTGTTCTCGAGGTTGGAACAAATGCATTGCCTTCGTTGAATTTGCGTGCTAAGAACGCAAAATAGAAACGGTTCAGAAAACGACCATTTCCTATTCCCGATTTCTCATTTTTCGAATTTTCAGCTTAAAAGATAAGGAAATAGGATCAGAACCCATTTCTATTTGCCAACGTCTCAAATGGAAAACAAACAATCAGATCAAGAAACCTCCATTCCTATTTCTATTTTCAATTTAAAAAAAGGAAATAGGCAGAAAGACCCATTTCCTATGTGGCAACGTCAAATGGGAAAAACAAACTAAACCGGTATGTACCGCTTGATTTAACTCGATTAACTTCAAACTCGATTTAACTCAGATCCAGGTATGGCGTTAATTTGGGCAGCGTTCTAGTCAAGCCAACTCGTTATATGGATATAACAATTCACACATAAATTATGCTGTTGAATGTATACCCTTTAAATTTAAACACGGCTTCTTCTTTCTCCATTAAATAACCTAATGGGCGGAATATTAGTCGCTGTATTATTTCATTATTTCATCATTATAAACATGAATGCTCGGTTATGTATCCTTGCAGCGTTAGCAATCCACCCGACAGAATGTCAGTGCCTGTACGGCACTCGGCTCTTCTGCAGAGATCTCGGTTTGACGAGCGTACCGACAGCGTTCTTTGAAGACATATCAATCAACACAACGCGACTGTAAGTACGCGATCAAAAACAAGCCGAATTACAATGTGACCCCGTTTTCACGATGGAACGGATGCAGTATAAACCGCAATCACGATGAAACAATACCGATTTACACTGCAAACCTTATTCGCGATTGAACCAACCGGGTTTACACTGTGACCCGTATATCATAAATAGTTATATATATATATATATCATTAGTATTCACGACAGAACAAACCTAATCACAGTGTAATCCCTGCTGACGGTGAAACAATCATAATTTGAATGCTAATCTTGCGCTCGTCCGTACTGACCGAGTTACATCGAAACTTGGAGTAATCATTCAGAATTTTTTTGAGAATCGTTCTTTTTGATCTAGCGAAGCGGGCCAAGGGAATAAGACACACGTCAGGCATCAATCTACTTTTATAATTTTGTTGAGAAGCGCTCTTTTAGATCTAACGAAGCGGGCCAAGGGAATAAGACACACGTCAGGCATCAATCTACTTTTAGAATTTTTTTGAGAAGCGTTCTTTTTGATCTAGCGATGCGGGCCAAGGGAATAAGACACACGTTAGGCATCAATCTATTTTTTAGAAGAAAGAACCCCTGCGATATATATTTCGTGTTATATAGATCATGGAGTGAAACCACAGACGGGATTATTATTATTCACGACTGTTGTCTACACACACACACACGCGCGCACACACACGCACACACACACACCAACGCCACAACACATGACACAGCTCACACGAACTAACAACCAACANTCTCTCTCTCTCTCTCTCTCTCTTCTCTCTCTCTCTCTCTCTCTCTCTCTCTCTCTCGTCTCTCTCTCTCTCTCTCTTCTCGTCTCTCTCTCTCGCTCGCTCTCTCTCTCTCTCTCTCTCGCGCTCTCTCTCTCTCTCTTTGTCTGTCTCTCTGGCTATGTATGTCTGTCTGTCTGTCACTCACTCTCTCTCTCTGTCTCTTCCTCTTGGTATAATATATATATATATATATATATATGTATTGGAAATAGTTGCCAATGTTGTGCATTCGCGTTACTAATATCTGCGTTGCTGTTGACTCACAGATTCCTCGACCAGAATTATCTGGAGGAGCTACCTCTGCACGCATTCGCTGGTCTTCCGAATCTCAACAAGTTGTGAGTATATTATACATATATTATCAGGAGCGTATAATGACAAATATATATTAATGACAATAATGACAATGAAAGTATATTTGTCATTATACGCTCCTGATATTATGTAGCTGATTTATGTAATCTTGATCTATAAATTAGATATAGATTTC